ATTGCAATAAAACGGCAATTTCATACTTTAACCCCTAATATTATTCAAATATTGACGATGAGGTAAAATTGTTTTCTGAACTTTTGACTAATATGCGTGTCAATAGATGGCGTTGTGTGTGAAAAAAATCTGTGAAATAAGCGCCATCTTTATTCTAGTTGATATCACTAGAAATTAAATTTCGTCTTCTTTTTTAAATGTTAAGGCCCCATCGAAGTGATCGATGATTTCGCCAATGTCAAGTTGAGGAACACACGAGTTATTACTCAAAAATTGACCGGCGTTATCTTTAAAGAGGAGAATCTAGAACGACAGAGAACCTAAACATACTATTACAAAAACAATTTTTTTTAGTAGAATTGAAAATAACTTGGATAAATTGGAGCTCGTCAATGTAAAACAAATTAGTTACAAAAATAGCTATTTGGTACACGTCGCGACATCTGGTATACCAATCGGTAGTAAATACCCGATTACGCTGCCTTGTATCGCGATTAGCAATGCCTTGAGTTATTGGTCTTAAAACTAAAGGTATTTAGTTCAAAATTGTACTTTAACACTATACGTAGCGATCAAATACACAGTATTAAAAAAATTGCAAGAATATTTTTTTACGAATAAGCATTATAGACATATTTTTTTTTATTAAAAATAATATGTGTCAATTTTCAACAGAGTAACAAGAAACAAAGGTGCTATACGTACTTAAATATATTTTAACATTGTTAATCAATTATTCTAGACAATGTTTGATAGTGAGATATGTCGGTCAGTATGCTTGTAAGTAAAAAGGTCATAATGAAGGCCCCATTCGTTATTCAACGTGTTGGAAACAATTACTATCAAATAAGGTATTGGCGAGTGTACTGTATGTAAGTATGTACACTATGGTTGGAAAATATTATGTGCAGATTAAAATGCATTTGATTTGAGATGGTTATAAATATTCAATTTAAAATATGCTTATCTACAATATTATTATTCTAAAATACATTTGCACTTTATGCACTATATCTGCTAATAAATACGCTTATGACTATAGAAAGACACAAAATTTTACACGAAGAATGGTAATAAATTACCCTATTACCATTCAAATTTTGTGTCTTTCTAGTAACTTCATTTCATCATTCTGGTGATAATACGAATGATAATTTATTATATTAAAGTTACATCTTTAAACAATTAGAGATTTTGTGATTTCGGCATCTAAAACAAGTTTAATCTTTTCATTCACCACGAATGTTAAATGTACTTACTTTTGTTTTGTTACTTTAATATTATATAATGATATGTATATAAGGGAACCTGTCATTAGCTTTACTCTTAGTATATATGTATATACACTATGTAAAATATTTTATTAAATAAATAATATAAAAAAAACTTAACCAGGCAGCGTAGCAGATGCAACTGACAAAATTTTGTAAAACAAAGACCGCCGAAAAGTATTTCATAAATGGAATGTAAAATGTAAAAAAAGAACTATAATTACGAAGGAGGTTGCATATTGTAATAATCCACCAAATGAAAAATTTTAATCAGTAATTTTAATTATATTTTAGGAATTTTCTCGTCCTGATTAGTCGACATAGGACCTATCCGCAAAATGACTTATAGTCGTAAAACGACGTAATCGTGGTAGGCCTCATTCTGAAAATGCCTTATTCGGGAAGTACCCTATTCTACTTAAGACTTATTCGTACAAAGACTTATTCTTAAAAGGCCTTATTGTTAAAAAGCCATTACGTCATTGCTAGAATTGGTTACCTACGAGACAGGCTTTGCCTAGTGTAGGAGCCAATGTAACCGGTTTAGATAAAGTTTAAAAGTATATGTTTTAAACGTACTCTGTATTCCATAATGTGTAATATAATATATTCTCACTTCTATGCCTGTTATCTGTATTTGAACTGTAATTGTTTTTATGTACAAATAAATTATTTACTTACTTAATGTCAAGAGTGAAGCTTCATTCGCGTCATTCGTTACATTACATATTTGACAGTAATTGTTTTGGGCGGATGTGACGTGGAGAACAGGAGTGCCCCCTCATGGAACCGACTCAGTTAAGCGGTAGGTTTGTAATTTAATTCGTAAAATCTCCAGACCTCTGCTGAAAATTTTTATTTTGCAGATGTGACTTTATTCCACCAAGTGTGCAACTTTCGAGTCTGTGGTGCTATTACAGTAATATTATATTTCGGCTCCTCCTACGTAAAGTATCGTATGTCGAAATTGCCAAGTTTGCAGGGAAGCGTTTTAAAGTTTTGAATTCAATGAAATAAGCACAACACGTGACTTTAGCATTGCTCAGTTTTATTCGGCAAAGCTCGTTACTCACATAGATTATTATAAAATCCTAGATATCGTTGTTTATCTAACTCTTCCCTGTAAACTTGGCAATTTCGACATACGATACTTTGTGTAGAAGGGGTCGATTTGAATAATTTGGTTCTTTCAATATTATGTTTAAGTTTATTCAATATCACAATGTTTTACCTCAGAATAATAACGCATAGAATGATAGTTTCATATCAAACGAACTGTCACAAGTGAGGCAATAATCAAATTCATGTAGGCTAGTTTTAGTAGTAGGTTAATTTTCGGTTTTAGTGAATATTTATATAAAAATACAAGTTGAAACGCGTTACCTTCTTGTGGAATGTGATGTTAGTATCTATTTTATGTTTGTCTGACGTATTTTTACACTCATTTACCGCACATTTCGTCATTATTAGTTAAAATTCTGGAGCTGTTCGCGGTGCAAGTTGACCTTGAGCACTGAAAGCCCGCCCGCTCGTGTAGGCCCTTTGGGAGCGCTTCAGTTTGCCTCACTTAGCGTGTGCGGGCTAGGTTTCTATGCGTTATTATTCTAAGTGTTTTACTGCCATGGGTTTCAATTATTTTTGCGAAATTACTCTACTATATTCTGTCTTATTTGAAAATGGAGT